AGGGAGTACGAAGGGCAACACTTCGAGTGTTGATGTCATGATCATGATAAACCCACAGCGGCTATATAAACACCGATCGAGCACACTCAGTCTCATTCTACATGGTGCTGCCGTGGCAGCCGGATGAGCGGGGGGGGGGGGGTGGAGGGGGTAGAGGGAAGGGGGCAAGAAAGGGGAGGCTGGGGGGGAGGGGAGAGGAGAGGGAGGGAAGGGGAGAGGAGAAAGGGAGAGAACATGGCGCTGTCATGCGCCGGAGAGGAGGGTATAAGGAGGGGGAGGTGGGGAGGAGAGACTGAGAGAGAACGACCGTTTTTAAGAGTAAGGTCTATATTCATGTTGACGTATTATTCTAACCTGATGTGGTGATTGTGATAACACCCACAATGGCTACAAAAACACCGAACGAGCACACTCAGCCTACATGGTGCTGCCGGGGCAGCCGGAGTCGGCGGGCGGTAGAGGGGAGGGGGAACAGAAGGGGAGGGGGAGAGAGGGGGAAGGGGGAGAGGAGAAAGGGAGGGAGAACATGGTGCTGCCATGCGCCGGAGAGAAGGGGTATAAGGAGGTATAACACATTCAATAGTGAGGTGGTTAATGGAGTACGTCATGCTGCTATTCCGTGGTTCCTCCCTACCCTGTGATGCGCGCGATAGCGGGCGGAGCAAACCTGGTATTTTATAATTCTAGATCGAAATTCTCCAGAAATTTATTATCAAGGTTTTTCGTTATGGGGAATCTATTGGTAATAGCAGCATTTTCCAAAAATGCACAGCAACTTTGGATAGCAAAAATTAGGTGGACCTATTATACAGGGGTGGCCAAAAAAAAGAGACACTTCACTCACATTCAAAACGGAATTATTTACGCGTTGCGAAACCAAACCAAATGACCCCAACTGAATATTGAAGAGCACGTTCTAATCTATCAACAAGCTACACAACAGCCTTCTACACCGACGACATCAGAAGATTTTCCCACGGAAATTGTGCACGGTACGAGCTCAACGAGGTCGTCGAGGTACCATAGACATTACGACGTCCCTGAAACGCTGGTCAAAAGCGGTTTTGCATAGTCACAGCTAATGTCTCTGGGAAGCTATTCAACAGTTAATCCATTGAAGAAATTATGTAGCAGCTTCAGGCCGGAGCGATTACGGTAAGCCTCGTTGAGCTCGACGGTGACGGCAGATGACGTCATATTCTGAAGACGGCGGGGGCAGTGAAGGAGGGCTGCTTCTGTTTACGGGGAACACCTAAGGAATATTAACGCCGTAAAACTTTCATTAACATCGGCTCCCTGTGCGACGAAAAGTTCGATGATGTGCGCCATGGGCTGAGTGTCTCTTTTTTTTGGCCACCCCTGTATATATAATATACTATACTGTACTGTGCGTGTATGTGTAGGTCTGTGCGTGTGTTACGTAACTCATAGCGCGGGTACAGGACTTTATGTCGTTAGAGTTGGTTTAAGATTAGCGTCAGGCAGGGGATGGGACGAGAAACATATCTTGTGGGGCGGCAGAAGCTGATAACATTGATTATGGGTTGGTAGTTATGAAAGCGACAACGATTATAATGTACCGGCAAGCATAATTGTGCGTGGATTGTCTGTGTGTTTGTCTGTCAGCTAAAAAATTTCATATTTCGTTCCCATTGGTTGGGTCTACATATGTAAGTCAAGAGCGTAAAGGGAAGCGGATGGGACCACTTATAGCAAGTCGAGCGAAACGACAAATACATACAAGAGCTGATTACGGGCAAAAACTTTGTTATGCCTTCGCGTTACAGTAAGATGTTTCGCATCCACAGGAGAGTGTTTGGATCTACATACATGAATTACAGGGACTTTAAAGGTAGATATGGCTGGCAGAAATTGGGTAGCAACTGATAAGCGCTAATAAGACGACCAAGGAGGGAAATCACGGAAAGGAGTAGACTTTTTCAGTGATGACGCATGGTTGGGAATGGCAAACGACAATCAAGTCATATGGGCGGTTCGCCCGTAGACAAGTTTGATCAAACTGCGTGGTGCGCGCGGTAGCTTGCGGAGTCAAGCTGCTTGGTACAAATATGAAAGCTGCATGGAAAGTTTTTGCTATTCTTCTCCCACTCCCCTGAGCTTCACACTTGATCCGGGTTCGAGGGTTCCCTGCATTGTTCAAAAACTTGTCGCAAAGTGACTTGACGCTGTAGTATTCCTTTCAGTGATGGTGTCGCTATGCTAAATTCTCTCGTGGACGAAAATGGGTATTTAGTTTTTTTCAAACAACTGCAGGAAGGAGGACATGTTGCGAAGGTGAGAACGTTCGCAGTACTTCACCACTTTAGTAGTTCCGTACATTAGTGAATATAGAAAGGTTAGGGGGCATTTGGTGTCGATCAGCTTTTTTATGAGATGCACCACGCTCTATTTCTACTCATAAGCTATTACCATACCAATGAATATGTCTTACACCCACGAATGTGATTTGACCTACACAACCAGTGTGTAACCTACAAAGCCCGCCTTATCCTCACGCGTGTCCCAACAGGCCCACCGCGCGGCGAAGGAAGAGACGCAGACGCGGCAAAGGACGAGTCGCAGCGCATACTGTAGCGGTTAGGCGTCAGGTTAAATAGAGTGTACATACTACGTCTCATATCGCACAGCACGCGCTGCGACTCGTCCTTTGCCGCATCTGCGTCTCTTCCTTCGCCGCGCGGTGGGCCTCTTGGGGGACACCCTATCCTCACGCCAGCAACACCGTTATCGGTGTACCTACAATGCATATCAAGGAGTGCCATTCACCTTTTCGGATCAGGTTGCAGATCTGATTGAAAACGCATATTCTGTGCGCATTGTAATAGCTACATTAATCTACTCATACATTAGAATTAAATGGAATAAAATAAGATGCTGGTTCCTCTCAACAGCTTCCCTTCCTCTTTTTCTGAACCACTTTTCCATCTGTTTGGCTAAAATCAGCAATCCTTCCCTAACCAGCAATCTCATCAATGTGATAAGCATCTTGAGAAAATTGGGGACCACCATCTCATGCGCTTATAGAATCCCTAGCTGGGTTTCACGATAAGTTCCCTGACTAGATTCTCTCCCATTCTACTTCGATAAACCCTCTGGATCCTCTCTCTCCATCTCTCTCTCCCATCTTTGTCCACGAACTTCAAGTGACTTTACTCAAAAAGTGTTTGTTGATCGGGGATGGGAGGGATAGGTAGGGCGCACTAAATGGAGAAAAGGAAAAAATTTCCATTTCTAACATCTTAAAATTTTCCGCGATAGCGTTTCGAAAGTCTTGAAGTAATTCTCAAAAACTCTTCAACCCCATTGAGATCCCACTCCCTGCTTTCGAGAATCCACTGGATTCCCACTCAAATTCCTTTCACTGGAGCCGATCTCGACCTTCTTCGAAGAATCGTCAGCATTGACTCGTCCTCACTCTCGCATCTTCATCTCTTTCGGCCAGCGCTGATTGGTTGGATATGCATAACGCGTCAAACAAGCATTTTAAACTATTTTAATATTACTTTTCGGATAAGACAACACGACGACAATCTTCATTTACACTTCACTACTACTTGCTATTCACAAATACATCATCAAACACGTCGAGAATTTGCTGTGTTTTCCTAAATGTCACGAGATCAATAGGCATGATTAGCCACAAATAGAGACTGTGAAGCAGCCTTGTCGGCGTTCGGATCGCCAGAGTATTTGCCAAGGGCGGCCAGTGAATTCGCCTGCGCTCTCTGCATGAACACCGCCTGAAGTTGACTGTCATTTTGAATGATTTTTGGGTTGAAAAAATGTCGTGTGACTGCTAGCCGTCGAGGGCAATCAACAGAAAAGGCCAATTCACCTGAGCATCTTTGACGTTCTCGTCCTTTCCTGACCACTTCGACATGCATGATGCTTGTAGAGCTCGACCATATGAGAATGTTAGTGCCCATGGTTTCTTCGTATCTAGCTGAAGCCAATCAATTTGTTCTCAAGCACGCTATATCCCAGGACCACCAATACTAAGGCGATACTCTCGTCTGCTTCTGATACTTGTTTTTCTAAGGACAAAGAGATCGAGATTGCATCATGATACGAGAGCCCATTTCACCATGCCTGCTCTCATTTACTGAAATCCGCCGCCAGGTCGGTTCTCAAACGACCAACAGCTTCTTGGCGTATATCCCAAATGCTGTTCGAAACTCACCTTATTCATAGCATTCAAGTTAAGGGTGGCGTCCTCCTCAGACTGCCCTCCCGAAAGGAACACCACTCCAGGAACAGCAGCTGGAACAGAACGTTGAAGAGCAGTTATGGTTGCAAGCGCGATTTCATCGTGCGATGGTTTTTTGCCCTTGAAGGCCTGCCCTGGAAAGCTCAGATTTGAGTAAAAATCAAGAATGATGACCTCGTCTACATTCGATGGCTCACTCACCAGCAGTTACCATGTTCGGCTTCAGTAGAGTTCCTTCAAGGTAGACGTGGTGGTCGTTGAGGGCTCTGTATTTCGCGTAAAATCGATACTCTATGTATGTTGTGGTTTACCTTTAAACAACTCGAATCGTTACCTGTAGCAGTAAGACAGAACGGTCTCGGTGATCTTTCGGCATCTGTCTATGTCATGCTCGCCGTCCGGAAGAATCTCTGGCTCGACGATTGGTACCAGGCCATTTTGCTGACAGATAGAGGCGTAACGTGCGAGCACCTAAATCAGGTAGCACAATTTAGTGGCGACGTTAGCTAGGGGCTTTCTTCCAAGGCTATTTCACCGGCAAGTCCATGTGAGGTACCTAACATACAATTTTTCAAAGCATACCT